CAGCTGTTGTGGAACTACAAATCCCATGAGTCATTGCGAGATTCTCACAGCCACAGGCATGAATCCCAGAGACAGATGCATCATGTAGTCTCGCCACAGCTGGAGTTTGCCCACCCCGGTGTTAACCTCTAACTCCAACCATTTTTTGTGTGTTTTTGGACGGAGTGGGGGCAGTTAATTATTGGCAGGTTTTTACATTCTTTTTTTTACCCCCATTGGGGAGATTTCCCCTTACTTCCTGTCCCTGTGACACCCATACAAGAAATGGGGGTATAGTATGGGGTATGGCATAAGTTAGACCTATTTGTAATAGCAACTCTCAAGTAACCAGAAACTACATTTATCCAGAATCTACCGATCCCCGTGGATGCCGCATCATCGGGGAGTTTATTGTGTATATATTTTAGAATTTTTTTAACAGCAAAAAATACTTTCTATGATATGAAACAGACAAAAGGGAGCAGATGACAGAAGGTCATTGTTAGCACTTGCTTAGATTTTATATGTGTGGCTGAGAGTACATTCTGTCATGACCATTGTTACTTTGTCTCTTGTGATACATTTCTATCTTCCTAGTAAGGTCACCGCAGGTGATAAAACAGTGGAGGAATCTGGGATGCGGAGGGATCCGGGATGCGGAGGGATCCGGGATGCGGAGGGAGCCGGGATGCGGAGGGATCCGGGATGCGGAGGGATCCGGCATGCGGAGGGATCCGGCATGCGGATGGATCCGGCATGCGGATGGATCCGGCATGCGGATGGATCTGGCATGCGGATGGATCTGGCATGCGGATGGATCTGGGATGCGGTTGGATCTGCGATGTGGAGGGATCTGGCATGCGGATGGATCTGGGATGCGGCTGGATCTGGCATGCGGATGGATCTGGGATGCGGTTAGATGGGGAGGGATCCGGCAGGCGGAGGGATCCGGCATGCGGATGGATCCGGCATGCGGATGGATCCGGCATGCGGATGGATCCGGCATGCGGATGGATCTGGCATGCGGATGGATCTGGCATGCGGATGGATCTGGGATGCGGTTGGATCTGCGATGTGGAGGGATCTGGCATGCGGATGGATCTGGGATGCGGCTGGATCTGGCATGCGGATGGATCTGGGATGCGGTTGGATCTGGGATGTGGAGGGATCTGGCATGCGGATGGATCTGGGATGCGGAGGGATCTGAGATGCGGAGGGATCTGAGATGCGGAGGGATCTGGCATGCGGAGGGATCTGGCATGCGGAGGGATCTGAGATTGGGAATGAATGTAAAACTTTGTTATATTCTGAGTTGTCCAATGAATGCAGCTTTATTATTATTATGATGATGATATTATCCGTCTGCTTACTCCGGCTGACCGTGAACTTTGCCCCTGTTCCATCACCTGCAATATATATATAATATAATTATCACCTTTTCATGCTGAAATTCAGGCAGATTGGGATTTTACATACAGTGATTCCCCTGATACTATATAGAATATGGTCGGCCATAGACGTCTGCCCGTCCTCTGCGCCACTATCGCCCACCGCAGTTCATTGTGCAGGGCGACTGGCAGACCAATCAGAAGAGAGAAGGCGCGCCCTCCATTGCGCACAGATTTTCCTACATTCTGGAGAATTATTGTGTACTCCGTGTCGGATCTTCATTTAGAGGGAGTTCAGCCAAAGGAAAGGGAACCGGACTTCTGATTGGGAATGCCCATTATCATCCCCAAGGGTAGATCTAAAACCCCCAATCCTCACCCGAGTGTCCCATTGGCTGGTCTTGTCAGGGGCGGGATGTTTCATCGGCATCACATTGTAGCATTATTTGTTTAGTTCCCGCTGAATATGGATTGTATCCCAATGTGAGCGCCGGATGTACTACTTCCCAACTGAGGAACATGAGCTGCTTAGGAGAGTCATAAGAGCCTTCACAGCTCAAACTTTGGGGCCAGCCAGATCTACCAGCAAGCCTAAAAGTGTGATGGGCAGGTGCCCCCCCGACTTTTAGTAGTATAGTCCGTATATCGGCCGCAGAAGAATTTTTGACTTTCAATGTTATTCCCTTTCCATTTCAATCAGCAGCCATTGTGCTATCCTAGAACTGTAGAAACACAGAGGGGGCGGAGCTTCATTTTTAGTGAGTTACTTTCAAAGAACCTAAAGCTGCTCCTTCTCCTCCAGTGTTTGGACTGCTCAGGCAGTTTTAAAGAAGGCGGACCTCCCACTTAGCTCCACGATCGGAGGCTGCTGAAACCATCAGTGAGTTCTCTGGCTTTCATTCTGAGCCATTAAGGAGACAAGGATTCTGGCATCATAGGAGTTTATGGCCCTGGTCATGTCGGCCATGTCCCCTCACACATATACACCGATCAGCCATCACATTCTGACCACTGGCAGGCGAAGTGAATAACATTGATTATCTGGTTACAATGGCACCTGGAAGTGGGGGGGATATATTACAATGGCACCTGGAAGTGGGGGGGATATATTCGACAGGAAGTGAACATTTTGTCCCTGAAGTTGATGTGTTGGAAGCAGAGATAATAGACAAGTGGGAGGATTTGAGGGACCAAATTGTGATGTCTAGACATCTGGGTCAGAGCAACTCCAACATTGCGGCTCTTGTGGGATGTTCCCAGTCTGCAGTGGTCAGGACTGACCAAAAGTGCTCCAAGGAAGGAAAATCGCTGGCTGGGTCATGGGCGGCCAAGGCTCACTGATGGACGGGTCACCTCACAACTTACAGGACTTCAAGGATCCGCTACTGAGAGCTCGGTGCCAGAGACCACAGCACACCTTCAGAGGTCTAGTGCAGGGGCGTATCTGCCGCGAGGCAAACAAGGCGTTTGCCTGGAGCGGCAGATTCCCTGAGAGCGGCACTTGCAAACCTACTCGGTATTCGGCGGGTGTCATGGCTGATCGCGGTATAAGTGGTGGAAACCATTTGGGTTCCTGATAGAGATTCTTGGTGTTTCTAACCCTTGTATTGGAGTCGTTCTGCGAGTTATCTTTAGATACAAACGGCGCTTAGCGGCGTCCG